CCGACGACTGACTGGCCACATTGCTGGAACTTTTAGCCCACAGATTAACATCTTTAACAACTTGGCTGATCAGGTACCTTCTGAAGGAACTTTTCAAACTTCATAGTGCTATTAAACACTAATGCCAGTAATAATCTTATATTGGTTGGTATTAGGATGCATTCTTTAAAATTAGATATCAATACTACTCTCTCCAGTTGTATTTAAAACATCTGTTATCACTGCAAAAACAAACCCCACAAAAATATAATATACAAGTATTTAAACAACATTTACAGCTAATGCATTTCTGGTTTCCCAAGTATGCTAAACATACAAATTATGTATCTGATCATCTGACCCTCAAATATTGTATGTTTATGTGTAAGTTAGGAAAAACTGAATCCCTCATTTGCATTTTAGAGGGTATAGTGTGCTTTGAGGTGATGCCACTGGTATAAATACAGTTCCCAGGAAAACTTCATAGTGAAAGTCAATTTTATTAATAGCATTGGGCATGTTTAACTTGGACCAACAAAATTCACATTAAAAAATGTACAACGAACTATTTATAAAGTGTGCATTTAATGGGGTAAACTAACAAAGTAAAAATTACTGGTATTTTGCCAATATATATGTAACATTTATGTAGGCGACAAATTATTGGTAATTTTTACATGGTAAACTTTTTAATGTGAACAATTTCCAAGAGAACTTATTGAAGTTAATGATTTAACAAGGTGACCATTATTTTTTAACTGTACTCATTTGGTAAGCATAATTTATGAGGTAACAAAATTATGGTATAACGTCCAAGAAAGTGAACATAGATACAACCTGGTTGATAACATGGAGAAATTATAAATGTAAAATATATGGGGTAATTTATTGTTTTTTTTTTTCTTTGTTTTTTCTTATTCTCTGGCCTACCTAATTTAAGTTGTATCAGTCCTGCTTTCTAGTTCTGCATCTCTGTACTGGTACAAGTTTCCTTGTATCTTCATCATATATATATATATCTTACAAAATGTGTCATACATCTCATTTACTTCCTATTTCTGTACTTTCCTATTTCTTCCTATCTATATAAATAAAAATGTAAATGTCGGTTTGTTCAAAATCACTAATCTCTGAAAGTTCTTCACCGATTGCTTCGAATTTTTCACACAACATTCCATTCGCATTCCAGCGGGTTTTTATATACATACTACAGTATGTATATAACATGCTTGTGACAGGAAAGAACATGCATTTTTTTAAAAAGTGTGTTTTTCCATGTATTTTTCATGTGAGGGAAATCTTCAAAACGTCTTTACTGATTGCATTGAAATTTTGACAACTTTGCATTCGAATAGACGCATCTTTTTATATACTTACTATATACTGTCTTACTGTTTTACTGTCACCTCACCTGTGACAGGAAAAAAACATGCTTTTTTTTTAAACAGCGTCATCTGTTGCACGTAAGAGCAATACATGCTGTAATCTCCAAAAGTTCTTCACCAATTGCTTTGGAATTTTGACAACATTCCATTCGAATACCCGCGTGTTTTTATATACCTACTATATAGATGCCACACCTGTGACAGGTAAAACACGCTTTAAAAAAAAAATAAAAACGCCATCTGTTGCACGCAAGAGCAACACACGCTATACTAAATGTGTTACGATTTCATTTCAATGTTTCTGATTGCATTGATATATTGAATTTTCATATGATTTCAATTTATTTTAATTTTTATTTAATTATTTTGGGTGACATTGCATTGGAATTGAGCTGGGTTGTTTACCATACCATTCATTTCGTGAGTATACAGTACTGTAGTTTATTTTTATATTTTTAATTTTTTTAATTTTATTTTTTTAACTACAGTACTGTTCTTATTTTTCAGTGATGGGAACATCAGATCATTTGATGTTCCCAATTTTTTTATAGGAACATCAGATCATTTTGGAATGCATCGGACGAGGGAGTGGGGAATGGTAGAGAGGACAAGGGGACGAGGAAGGGGAAGGATGGTGGGGAGGATGAAGGAATGGCGAAGTGGGGAATGGTTGGGAGGACTAGGGGACGGGGGAGTGGGGAAAGGTGGGGAGGACCAGGGAAGGGGGGAATGGTGGGGAGGACAGGGAAAGGGGGGGGGGGAATGGTGGAGAGGACCTGGAGAGGGGGTGGAATGGTGGAGAGGACCGGGAGAGGGGGGGAATGGTGGGGAGGACCGGGGGGAGGGGGAAATGATGGGGAGGACCAGGGACAGGGGAAGGCTGCTGTGGTTCGTCAATGCACATGCGTTGCCAAGCCACAGCAACGCATGGCCAGGTACAGCAAGTTACCAATAAAGATTAAAGAACTTGCAAAGTTCCCCTAGTGTCCCTTTTTTTAAATAAAAAAAATTTCCATTAATTTCCTTTCTCCAATCTCTTCTAAATTATAAATCATTGTATATTTGATTTCCAAAAGACATGGTCACTTATGTACAATGGAGGAAGGTACTGAATATCAAATATCTCCTCTCTTTCCTGGTAAATACCAAATCCAGCAATGATGAAGCATCACCATCTCTCATTCATGTGGACTGTTTTACATGTTGATACACCAGACTTAGGTTTACGAATCGGCTAGTCCAAAAGTCTTCTGTTCTTGCTTCATAGGCTTCCCAGTCTATTTCTTAAATTGCTGCTGTCACCAAGTAACAACAATCGTGATTAATCTTCATCTGCTTTTACAAATCCATACGAGTTCGGTTATCAGAACCCCACTTAACTGAATATTGGGGTTATCTGGCCAAAATCGTATCTGGATAATTTTCAGGGACTACTTATTTCAAGAACTACAGTATCAAACAAGAAAATGAGCTACAACAAGTAAGGCAAAGTTTCTATTTTTATTTTTTATGTAGTGTGTGTTTGAATTATGTTGGTTATGGTACACAAAATTGCAAATATTATAATTTTTGGACTTCCTAATAAGAATTCTGCTTATTTGGATGTCTGTCTTACCCAGTGAGTGTCCTACTCGTATAGTCCGGATAATTGAGCTTAAACAGTAATATCTCTCAAAATCATTATAAATGCCTTTTTTTTTTTTTTTGTCATCTAGCTCCTCCTTAGTACATATGTTGCTTGCTGGTGGATTGTATACAGTAGTATTTATCAGTTTTCATTCTGACTGCAGATCTCCTTTACAATTACATCTACTTCAAGGGTTGTCAAGTATTAATTCTCTTTCCTTAGTCGCTCCTTCCCCAGCATAGCAACACCATCACCTTCTCTAAATTTTCTGTCAATAGCATAGCCCCTTAGGAATATCATCGTCTAAAATTTTATCTTTCAGTTTCATCTCAGCTACTGCAATAATATCTGGCATCTTAAGCTGTATTATATCATTTAGCTCCAGTATTTTTTACCTTGCCTCGTAATTTTAAAGATACACAATTTTGTACGTAATAATTATATTTCTTGGTTCAGTACTGTATACGTAATTTTGAGGCCTGTAATTTGTGCAGTACAATATTGTACAATATGGATTCAGCTAGGCTTGTAAGTACTTTAAACTAAAGTGCTTCAAAGTGTATGAGCATTTTGTTGAGTAAAGAGTGAAAAAGAATGGTTTTAATTATTCGACGGGGTCGTATTCCGGGGAAATTAGGGTTAAGGACCTGCCCGAAACGCTACACGTACTAGTGGCTTTACAAGAATGTAAAACTTGTAAATGTAAACTTGTTTCCCATAGTCAGAGACAGGAAGCTCACCTCTCAGGTGTCTATTTACTGCAAGGTAAACAGGCACATCAGGTAAAAGGAAAGGTTACCAAATGCTTTCAGGAACTGAACCTGGGACCATTCGACTGTGACCTGATTGCTCTGACCAATGCACTACAATAACCTGGTACTTGTTCCCTGTATTTCCAGCATACCCTTAAGTTTGATTTGCACGGTTTTTGCAAGAACGTATCCTCCATGCAAATTGGGGGGAGGGTACATGCAAAACCACTTAAGTAATTATCAAAAGAAGGCACCAAACCGGGAAGGCTATGTAGCACCATCAAATGTGCAGAATAATCAGAGGGCGCTAAATATCACCAAGGATGCCAATATGGGAACAAAAACGCATAAGGCGAACGATATCAAAAGTATCCGAGTCACCAAGAATTCTATTGAGGGACAGGTGACCGCGAGGGGCGGTCGGAAAGCAAGACACGCTCGTCCTGGAAGTCAGGACATTCAAGAAGGACATGCACGACCGTAAGAGGGACAATGCAACTAGGACAATAAGGAGCAGGGCGGCGCTCCATCAAGTGACCATGGGTTAAGCGAGTATGGCCAATACGCAACCTCGCCAGAGCCGTTTCCCAACGCCGGTTACGGTGGTAGGAGGACGGCCATGAGGAAACAACATTTAAGAGTACGAAGTTTGTTACCAGTAACAGATGACCAAGAAGCCTGCCAACGGGTAAGGCAAAACCACTTAAGCATATAATGTGTAACACTACCAAATAATATTTTACCTGAATTCCCACAAGAACTGTGTTTATAAAGATAAATACTAAATATTTTTTGTTTGTATTCTGAGGGTTCATGCCCTGTACTGCATTACATCATTCTAGGTTTCATTAGCTTATGTTAGGTTTAGTAGAGTTTTCTATCAACTTGAGAATGGTCCAGGACGGACCGAAACATCGTCGTCCCTTCACCTTCTAGTGTGGTGTCTGGTCAATATACTTTAGCCACGTTATTTTGACTCATCGTCTGCAGAGAGTTTTCTACATCTAATTTTTCAATATCTAAGATTTTCTCTATCTAAATAATAAAGCATTGACTGAAGCATTTATCATTAGAATGCAACTTTGGAAAAAAGAGGTCCTGAAGCAGAGTGGAATACATCCTCTGCTTACAACCAAGGATTCCAGGTTTGATTCACAGGCAGGATATAAGTGGTTGTGCAAATTTCCTTTCACCTGATGTCTCTGTTAACCTATTAGTAAATACAGTAGGTAACTAGGAGTTAAAATGGAAACTCACTGCTTGGATCCTAAGCCACTGTTGTCCTTGGATAAGTCCACACTCGCCTAGAATTAACCATAAAAAGATTCATTATATCAGGCTAACATTATGCGATTCATTATGTCAGGCTAAGCATGAAAACACCCCTGGTACCAGCGACCTATTCATTTTAACAGTATTAAGCTCATCTGTAAATTGTAGCAGATAAAAGTAATCCCAGTCAACATATGTCCTGGTTGATTTAACTTTTTGATGGATTTTGTCTAACGGATATTTTCTTCTTGAAACTTGATAAATCAGCCTTGTCCAATGGATAAGATGGTGCCAGGAGCAAGGTTTTTGGAAATTAAGCCATATTCAGAGTATCCTTGATAACAGGCTGGAGAAGGGCGACACATCTGTTTCTTTTATGAACAGCGCTGGTGAGTGACTGAGCAGTTGCCTGCAGGGTGGGAAGTGACGCTTCCAGTTGATTACAGGCATTGTGTTTGGTACATAATTTTCTTTTGACAACGTTAATTGTGGTTTGGTAATTGTACATTAATTACGGGAAAATCAGTAGGAACTATGACGAGGACTCAAACCTATGCTCTGGTTACTCTCAAGCAAATACCTTAGACAACTACACCACAACACGATCAACTGAATTGCAACCTGGGATTCAGCCAAATCAGAAAATCCGTAGGAGCCGTGATAAGGGTTCGAACCTATGCAGTGGGTGTTCCCACACACACACCCTAGTCAACTGGGCCACTACATGGTAAAAGAATTACAACCTGCAGTTCTACCTAGCTCATAAGGGTTTTGGTTCCAGATTTTCTCATTGACACATCACTTTAGTGTGATTACTGTGTATTCAACTGAATCATCTAGTTCCTAAAACTTCCACTGAAGCCTAATCAGGGTTTTACACCATTCCCTCATGCATTGTGGCTTGTAGTCTAGGAATTCTACCTCCAATGTTTTTCTTCATGCACAAAAAAATAAAATCGCATTAACATTATGTATCAATGAGAAAATCAGTAGGAGCCATGAGGAGTATTCAAACCAATGCCCTGAGGTTAGAACCCAGATCATAGGTTTGAATCCTCCTAATGGCTCCTACCGACTTTCTCATTGACACCACGTTGTGTGATTTCTTTGTGCATTAATAAAAAGCTTACATTTGTAAACTCCTTAAATTGGTAATTAATAATATGGATAATTCATAGGTTATTACATACTTTTGATAAACTGAATACTGTATATAGGCTGATAATTTAGACTAGAATATTTCCCGAAGATTTTTTATGATTCAAAAGGTAAATCAATGGGATGTTTTATTAACATTCCATATATACACTTACTATTTTTTATGTTAGCTTTTTTACAGATCATTATTCTTGAGGTATTAGGATAAGTTAGTAAATGCAGGGCCATCTTAATAGCAGTGTAGGCCCTGGCTAAAGCAAAGCACTGGGGCTAATACCCAGATGATGGGCCTCACCCATCTGCTAAAGTGCAGGATTACAGTCAGATATTTCTGATATAAATAATTAACCCATAGACGGCGATTACCATCAACTGTTGATTCACAGGGTAATGCGGTTATCATCATTTAAAGATTTAACAAATTATTGTCTGGGTTTTACATGTATGATACACACACATGAATATAATAGGTCTTTTTGGATGTACATAATGGAGTTTATTTTGACATGAAAAAATCCTCTTTTCTCCATGCTACCATTTCATGGCATGTGGTTATCGTCATGAATATTAGTAGTAGAATGCGGTCATCATATTATGATGTTTGCCTGAAACACTGTGCGTATTAGTGGCTATAGGTATTGTATGTACTAGCTCTATCTATAAATTCAACATTATGTTTATAACTCATCTATGTATGTACTTTTGCCTGAATAAAAAATTTGAATTTTGAATGATGATTTAAACAATAATTGTCTGTTTTACACGTATGATGCCAATATAGATATACTGTACAGTACAAGTGTTCAATTGATATAAATAAAGAAAAACAAGTGATAAAACAATCAGTGGAATATCAGAGAATAAATCGGGAATTATCAGCAGATTCATGCACCAAGCGTTGACTAATGCCAGTTGCAGACTTACAGAGCGCATTCACCCAGTGAAACAATACATATTAACTTATTTTCATGTTTTTTCTTATATCTTGCATACAAATTAATACTGTAATTCTATAATGAAAATTATGTTTTTTATTTTTGTTTATTTTGTTGTGCATAGGCTGGTATGACCATTTCTCCATAGCGGCTGTCTAAGGGTTAATGCATAACTATTATTTGAAAAGGGATTTGAATCACAGGCTTTTCCAGCAAGAGGTCGTGTATTTATCAAGTCTGCTAAGAGATCTCTCACGAAGAATATGGGAGCATGAAAGCCCTAGAATCGTGGGGGCCCTGGCAACTGCCCATGTGCTCATACATTTTAAGATGGCACCGAGTAAATGAGTTTAATACACTGAGTGCAATTTATGCGAGTAAAGATGACAACTTATCGTGTAGCTATCAACACAGGCTTAATTCTCAGTTTTAATATCTACAATGTAGTAAATGTTTAATGCTTGGCAGCTCAGGAGTCATGTTGGATATTTGTACATATAATAGTAAATATTTTCCATATTTGGCAACAGATTTGTGTTGCATCCCGAGGAAAGTCATCAGTAAGCTATGATGAGAACCTATGGGATTCTCAATAAACCTAACAGGCTTCCTGTCCCCATCTAAGGGAAAGCACAAGGTGAACCATGTCCATGAAGGCAAATTATGTTAAAGTTATGCATTGTTTTGTTACTTGATGATTATCAAGTTATATTAATAACTATACCTATGTACTTCTCGGTGAGGAGGCATTAGATGAAAGGAAATGTGCCCAACAATTTCTGTCCAGCGAGGGAATCAAACCCGGAATCTCCAACTGTGTGTCAAGAGTGAAGATGACGAAGGTAGAGAGAAGATATGCTCAAATTATTTAACAAAGGTTACGATTACAACACAAACCTGCATAGGTTCAAGCTTTGACTGCATAAATTTTGTTAAAAGGAAAGTTAAATGTACTTAGGTTATGGCAATGCAATCTTTTAAAATTTGGCATTATACATTTTAAATTCAAATTCTATGCATGAAACATGTGTACATAAAATTATATTTTGCAAAAGGATCACATCACTTTTTTTTTTTTTTTTTGTTTGATATACTGTATACAAGAGTTGTTACATTCTTGTACAGCCACTAGTACGCGTAGCGTTTCGGGCAAGTCCTTAATCCTATGGTCCCTGGAATACGATCCCCTGCCGCGAAGAATCGTTTTTTCATCCAAGTACACATTTTACTGTTGCGTTAAACAGAGGCTACAGTTAAGGAATTGCGCCCAGTAAATCCTCCCCGGCCAGGATATGAACCCATGACATAGCGCTCGCGGAACGCCAGGCGAGTGTCTTACCACTACACCACGGAGACTGCTTTGTAAGTCTTGTAAGACATTGTAAGTACACACATCATCATCGACTTAGGCTGCGGTATTGTCAGTCGGGTTAAATTAGGTTGTTAGGTTGGGTAAGGTTGGGGGTTTAAAATTCGTTGGTGAGCTGGTGTCTTGGGGTGTAATGTGAGGTATCATCCAGGCCCAATGGGCCTGGGTACAGGGCCTGCAACTACAGTATTATAGGGTCACCCACTTTAATTGTCCAGCTAGACGAGACATCTCTCATATGAATAGCTATTGATGAAACACTTGGCTTAAATTTTAAGTTATGAGGGCCATTGTTATAGGGTCCTGTAACACTAAACACTCTAGCTTAAAACAAGAGTTTGAAACAACACTTGCCTGCTCGTTTGGTATTAATCTTTAAACTCAAATTGTCAAGCCAGTACAACAAGTAACCCACTAACCTACTATCTTTGCGTTAATTATTCAATCTATTCTGAAAAAAAATCGCTGCTGTTTTCCAATAGTCACTTTCCAAAACGGCAAGAGATCCCCACCCGCAGCTCTAGACTGCACCTCACACCTGCCTCGGTATAATACCATAGTCAGCATCTTGGTAAACGCTCACCATCTACACCTGTTTATCAGTAGAGTGAAAAACTGTGGGGTGATGCAGTGAGGCCTGACACTGGGAGCAGCAGCACCTCCCCCACGCTCGTCCCGGACCTGACTCCCGGCCGCCCCTCCTCCACCCCGCGCCAGACCTCACTATGACAATTAACGAGCTTATGGGTGCAGACGGAGCACAGTGCTCCTGCCCTATATCACGGATTATAGTGGAACGCAAGAATATATTTTGACTAGAACCATATATATATAGCAGCTGACCAGTAATTATAATTAAATATAACTTAATTGGTACATATAATTCGGTGTTGGACGACTGCAGAAACGCACCCAAGACGCGCACTTTGCCTTAACGAGGTTCCGCTATAAGACAGCTAGTGACCTTTGGCCGAGGATGCAATAACCCACTCCCGAGTGCATAATTTTTAATGCCACGTGAACACAGGCATCTGTATTTTAAGAACTAACGTAGCTGATATAGGCAATTATATAAATGCTGTTCTGTTAAATAGGTATATACATTATAATTGGTTTCACACTGACGAGACAGGAAATTTGCATATTAAGCTTATCGAGGTACCCACCCAGTGGGTATTCTCTCCTAGGTCAAAATTGGTCCAAATGACCACTCATATCTGAGACATCAATGACCGCAGACATCAGTGTGGCGACATATGTCACTAGCGGAGTCCCACAGGGCTCTGTACTTGGACCCCTCCCGTTCTGATATATGTAAACGATCTTCCAAAGGATATAGACTTATTCCTCTAAATGTTTGCTGATGATGCAAAAATTATCAGAAGAATCAAGACAGATGAAGATAGAAGGAGATATACAGGACAAACTGGAGGAATGATCTAAAAAAAATGGCTACTAAGGTTTAACTCAGTTATATTATTTTTATAAGAGAAAGGCAGAGACAGATATTGAAAAGACAGAGACAGACAGACATAGATTACAATGGAAACTAGACAGAGACAAACATGCAGACAGACAGACAGAGATAGACCTGCAGCGAGAGCGAGTCGACCAGGGCAAAGAGAGACAGACAGAAAAACACAGAAACAGAGGCAGACAAATGTTCCAGAGATGTGTAAATATTTAATTCAACATGATCTGCTACCAGAAATCTTAGACAAATATCCCCAGTTTGCTAATTGTAGGTAGCAACTAAATTATTGTAACCTATCCACCGCTGCCCACTGGATGGGGGGCGGTGTGCAGGATAGTTTATCAATTGCGACACTAGCTCTCCACATGTCAGTTGCTTAATTTAGAAACTGTACCTGTGGTCGATCTCAAACCCATTGATGATGTGACGATGTGTATTGAATTTTGTAACTCGCTCATCAAAATTGTAACTTGCTTAGCTAAATGAATTGTGGGGCTCAGTCCCTGAGCCCATTATGTGCCTCTGTAACCCTTTCCACTATCGCCCATAAGATGGGTATGGGATGCATAATAAATTAATTAAAATAAACAGAGGCAGACACAGAAACAGACAGGCAGACACACAGATGGACAGACAGACATAGAAACAGATTAAGAAGACAAGAAATAGGAATAGGGCAGAGGGGTAATGTACTAACTTGCAGGGGGAGCTTGCAGGGGGGAGGGGTGAGCTTCGATTCTTAATTGGTCCTTCCTCTCAATCATCAATCAACTGGTTTACAGATTCCTTACCCTGTTGGGCTCTATTATATCTACATTTGAAAGTGTGTATGGAGTCTGCCTACACCACATCACTGGCTATAGTGCAATCCATTTAATTCCTGACTACTCTGACACTGATTTTTTTGTCTGTTATCTGTGTGACTCATTTGCATACCCAGTTTCCATCTGTGTCCCCTTGTGCGAGTATCACCCGTGTTGATTGATTGATAAAGATTAAGCCACCCAAGAGGTGACACGGGCATGAATAGTCTGTAACATCCATGTTAAATGATCTGTCATTAGCTACCCTATCAATTCCCATGAGAATTTTGTATGTGGTAATCATGTCTCCCCTAACTCTTCTGTCTTCCAGTTATGTGAGGTTTAATTTCAATAGTCTCTCCTCTTAGCTCCATGGAGTCCATAGATATGGACTCCATGCTGGAGCTGTATACTACAGGATTGGTCTGACATATGTGGTATACAAGGTTCTAAATGATTCCTTACACAAGTTTCTAAATGCAGTTCTTATGAGGCTAACCTAGCATATGCCGCTGATGATATCCTTTTGATGTGAGCTTCAGAGGACAGGTACAGTGTGATATCAATTTCCAGATCTTCCTCTCTTCCTATATCTTAAAGGATTTCATCTCCCAAATGGTATCTTGCATCTGGCCTTCTGCTCCCTTCACCTATTTTCATTGTTTTACACCTGTTTGAGTTAAACTCTAGTAGCTTTTTGTTGCACCATTCCTTCAGTTTGTTCAGGTCATCTTATAGACTCATGCTGTCCTCCTCTGCCTTAACCCTTTTCATAATTTTAGCATCGTCAGCAAACATTGAGAATAATGAGTCTACACCCTTTGGAAGGTCTTTACGTATATCAGAAATGTCCGGAAAGATGACTAATCAGAATGCAGACAAACAATGATATTCCAGGGAAGCAAAAGTTCGACCTACCTATATTGGTATGACAACCACAAAGATTTCGAGAAGACTGATCTGCCATCTACAAGCTGGTAACCCTAGGAACACACTTCTCAGCCTATCGGCTAAGACCAGAGTGCAGTAAATAATACAAAAAATCCTGGAATCTACCACTGATCAAAGAAGATTGCAAATCCTGGAAGCTATACTTATAATTAGGACCTGAAGGCCACTAACACTCTGGTGGCCTCATTGAGGACAGGAAGCTGGTGGCATGTCAAAGGTCCCCCCCCCCCACATTTGTCTTGATTTTTCAAGTTGGATTTAAAAGTTCAACAGTTTTGGAATTTACAGCTTTGGTGGATAGGCAGTTCCATGGATTTATATCACAGTGGGTGAAAAAGCATATCTTGTTTTCAATCCTATATTGTGGCTTGTTAAGCTTGAAACCGTTGCTCCTTGTTTGTGTTACATCTGACCTTTTGAAGAAGTCTGAATCAAACATACTCCAAATTGTTTAGTATTTTGAACGGTATGACAGGGGTTAGATCAGCCCTGTCATGTTTGCAGTGTTATGTATAGAGACCTATGCATAACCAGACCATCACCAGAGATATACTGACAAACGACGCCAAAATAATCGACAGCTAATGCGACAACAGAAGACTAGACATCAGCGAAGCACTATACATCAATCAATAGCCAACTAGCACCAAATTACACTCTGCCAACTTCCAGAACACGACAGAACATACAACATAATGCCCCAGTCATTATGCAAACATGAGGTTGACATGATACAATGGACCTATAAGTAAGGTGCTTCACCTTCATCTCATCCTCGGGTACATATCACGCAGCAAGAAAATTTGTAATCATTCAAACATTGCCTTTCACAATGTTAACAAGAGTTAATGAAATGCATCTCTGAGTGTTAGGCTAAATAAAACTGTAAAAATGAACTTTGGAGAGTTCATTTTTCTACTTCTTTAATCTCATGTGAAGAAAGATGTAAGGAAAATAGAGAAGATTCACACTAGAATCATTGATCTCACCCTTTTGGTCACATTCAATAATATATGCCTACAGGAAAGACTGCTGCAAAAATATACTACAGTATTTACAAATATATTTAATTCAAGGCGGAAAAAGAGGATACAATTTTAGGGATTGGCTATTAACCTTCTAACAATTTCGTTGAGGTCACCATGGGGAACCATCCTCCTTTTAGTGGGAGCAATTGCGTCGACCACATGTTGGTCACCTATCACTCGGCAATCACCCAGCAAAGATGAGTAAGGCTGTCCCTAGGCGTCACCAGTTTGGACAGACAACTAAAGACATATTTTTCTTTTATAAATACTGTATAGATTTAGCAGCATAACAGTTTTAGCCAAAGCGTGTTAATGAATTGTTAAATTTAATTAGTTAAAATCAAAATGTTATCCGGTAGCTGTTTATTTATTTATTTATTTATTTATTTATTTATTTATTTATTTATTTATTTATTTATTTATTTATTTATTTATTTATTTATTTATTTATTTATTTATTTATTTATTTATTTATTTATTTATTTATTTATTTATTTATTTATTTATTTATTTATTTATTTATTTATTTATTTATTTATTTATTTATTTATTTATTTATTTATTTATTTATTTATTTATTTATTTATTTATTTATTTATTTATTTATTTATTTATTTATTTATTTATTTATTTATTTATTTATTTATTTATTTATTTATTTATTTATTTATTTATTTATTTATTTATTTATTTATTTATTTATTTATTTATTTATTTATTTATTTATTTATTTATTTATTTATTTATTTATTTATTTATTTATTTATTTATTTATTTATTTATTTATTTATTTATTTATTTATTTATTTATTTATTTATTTATTTATTTATTTATTTATTTATTTATTTATTTATTTATTTATTTATTTATTTATTTATTTATTTATTTATTTATTTATTTATTTATTTATTTATTTATTTATTTATTTATTTATTTATTTATTTATTTATTTATTTATTTATTTATTTATTTATTTATTTATTTATTTATTTATTTATTTATTTATTTATTTATTTATTTATTTATTTATTTATTTATTTATTTATTTATTTATTTATTTATTTATTTATTTATTTATTTATTTATTTATTTATTTATTTATTTATTTATTTATTTATTTATTTATTTATTTATTTATTTATTTATTTATTTATTTATTTATTTATTTATTTATTTATTTATTTATTTATTTATTTATTTATTTATTTATTTATTTATTTATTTATTTATTTATTTATTTATATACAAAGAAGGTACATTGGGGGTTAAGAGATAACATAGAAATGAAGTTCATTTTACATTCTTGTAAAGCACGCATAGCGTTTCGGGCAAGGGATTCATTTACTTGAGTAAAATAAATAATACAATATTACCAAAGAAAACATTAATCTTATTTTATAAAACTATATAATAATAACGTTTCTTATTTATTTGTATAATAACTTCTATTTATTTAAAAGTCAAATGAATATTAAAATGTGACGTCACGCGTCAGCTGTTGAGGTAAACAATGGGTTGTGACTCGTGATTTGGAGCTCAAGTTGTCTTGTCTCTGTAAGGGTTGTAACTCCCACTTGCGGCTACATGCTGGTTGTAAAGTAGGTATTAAACAAGTATTTAATATTTACAATGCACAGGTTTGTATTTAAATGGACCTATGTACCAAATAAATTGTGCAGCCCTCGTACAGTGTTGTTGGAAAGATCAAGGCAAAAGCTCCCCATTTGCCTTGATGATCTTTTCCATCAACACTGTACGAGGGCTGCACAATTTTGACAAGCCACCGGCTTCCTGTCCTCGTCGACGCCACTAGTGTTAGTGGCTCTCGGGTAAACTAGGGTAAACTCTGGTGCAGGAAGTATCGGGACTAGCTAGCCATATTTCTATTACTATAAGGGTGCTGGAAGTCGAGTCGGGTTCATTCTCGACGCACAGTTGAGAATTCCGGGTTTGAATCTGGGCCGGGACAGAAATGGTTGAGCACATTTCATTTCACCTAATGCCTCTGTTCACATAGCAGTAAGTAAATACTGCTATGTGAACTGGGGAATTAGTCAGCTTGTTATGGGGTTGCATCTGGGGAGGAACAGTAATTCGACCTTGGGGGGGGGGGGGAGCTCTCGATAAAAGTCAAAAACGTGTATGAAAACACACTGGCTTCCTGTCCCTCGACACAATGAATTATAAAATTATTTTTGTGGACTATCTGGTCACATTAGGTTTGGTTATGTTAAAATAATGTCAGGTTGTTATCTAAATTTGTTATTTTAGGTTAGCAGTGAATTGGACTATTGAGAAAGCTCAACAATGGACGACAAAAATCATTCCTGAACTAAATCGACTCGCACCAGGAATGGTTGAGGGCCACAGGTGTAACAGCACTGCAAACCGGATATGACTGGGCTAATCTCATGGAAACTTTTAAAATATTGAACAACATGAATGTAGATCCAGACAACTTCAAAAGGTCTTATATAACACAAACATGGAACAATGGTTTCAAGCCCAGCAAGCCACAATGTAGGACAGAAAGCAGATGCTTTTTCACCATTAGGGTTATAAACCCATGAAACTGCCAAAACACTGCTGCTATTTAAGACATAAATAGATAAAATCATTAGGAGCAATGGGGGACCTTTGATAAGGTGCAGGCTTCCTGTCCATGTTAAGACCACCAAAGAAATACCTGTAGATGCCCTTGGTTAAATTCAGATAACACCATCATAGGAGTTCAATATCAGGTAGAGAAGACTGCACATTTGCACTTTAATTTTCAGATTAATTAATGTCAAAATGGGCTTATTTTGCAAGCCACAAAACACTATACAAAAGTTATATGTTATGCATGATTACGGGGCACAATGAATTGGTGTGAAACAACTTGGAAGTGTAGTGAATTGACCTGATGCAATCAAGTGTTAAAAACATGCCCATAAGCAGTAAAACTATTAACAAGAAGAAATTAAGGTACTGTACTTTGAAAACTATTTATTGAAGCAAAATTTTTGTGTAGAGCAAAGGAATACCAGTTAAGTATCCTCACTTCTGCTCTTTGGTCACCCAACCACTTGGATTGGAAGGTAGTGATGGTGTCAGTTCTTGCAGGTCAACATTCGATCCCCGACCATCGAAGTGGGTGGGCACCATTCCATTCCTTCGTCCTATCCCTAGTACTTATCTTCACAGCCCTTCCAAGTGTTATATAGTATATTGTTGTAATGGCTTGGCACTTTTTCCTAGTAGTTCCCTTACCCCTTGCTCTTTGATATGTACAGTATTTAGCTATGCATCTTTGTCATGTGGCCATTTCTTACCTCTCACACTCCTATAAATAATTCAGCAATTTCTTAGGGTCCTCAGCCAGATATTTTTTTGCATATTGCACTTCTCTGACAGATTTCACTCTCCTTCGCTCTGTTCAAGTACCTTTCAGAGGGATGCCTAAACCCAAAATCCATTAATCTAATTATTTGCTTCTACAGTATATCATTTAATTTCTATAGTCCTTCTTTAGCCATCACATTGCAACTTTCCTTAAACTCTTTTTGACATTACAGTATCTGTACCTTACGTTTGACATTATCTGTACCAATTTTGGAAATCTCTAGTTTGTTTTATTGGCTGTTTGTAAGTAACATTCCTGCTTCTTTATATTCATTTGCCATTTTGCACACCTCTGCACTTAATTTTTTAACCACTCCAGTTTTTATTTTCAACTATTTTACACTTGTGTAAATTTGTCCATATGCAATTTAGTCAAAGTTCAATCATTATCACGTACACTGCCATTTTATTTCCTGTACTGATTGTGCATTGGTGATTGTGTGTGTAATTTGGAATCCTGAAATCATAGCATTGATGCTGAACCTGCATGTATAATGTAAGTGTTGAGTACACCTGTATTTTACAATTATTTTGTATTAAATTAATATCCCACTTTGTGTGTTTCTTATTTGCCTCAAAAAACTATTTTGCATTAATGTTTAATATGGTATAGTTAACAGAGTTTACTAAACCAGTTGGGACCACTCCCAATGATTTGTGGTTGTTTGTTATACTGTATATACTATATATATGTGATAGTTTTGGCCCAAAAAATGCTTAGTTTTTTTATCACAAATCACAAAAGAAACATTTGTACAAAGAATAACATCACCAGCCCTTGGCCACTTAAGCAATTTTTGTGGCATAAAAAAGTTTGGAAAACGTTTATGGTATGAATAGAAAAAGGCTGTTTATTGCTAAAGTAACTTCATAGATCACTCTGTACTTAATGAAATATTAACTGAAATATGTTTAGTAGCTGAAGTTTCACCCTACAACAGAGATTGATTACTTATACCTCATTGCCGGTTGTCAGCCATATATAGTACGTGTAGTAATATTACCCATTTTAAAGTTTTTTTTTTTTTTAGAACATATGTACGGTGCTGTACAGTTGTGTACTGAGAATCATGGGAGTTCTCAAAAACTGAAGCCCGATTCAAGTACAGTATCTTCAGACTTATGATATTCATCTGCAGTATAATGTAGTCTCGGGCCACCTGCTTTTGGAGGAAAGTAATTTCTCGAAGCCCTTTTAGAAAGGGATCTAGGGGGTTGTTCTGGATAGTAAATTATCACCAGAGGACCTCAACAAAGGTATTGTGTGAGGAGGGCATGCTAAACTTACAAACTTTAAAACGGCTTTTAAATACATAGTTGGGATATACAGGTACAGTACTATAAAAGTTATTCACATCATTTGTGAGACCAAAATTAGAGAATGCAACAGTTGTATCATATCTAAAAAAAAAAAAAACACAAACAAAATAGAAAAAATGCAAAGACATGATGCCAAATGTTTTCCATACATAAACTACAGCTATCAGGAAAGACTTAAGGTGTTATACATGTAAATGATAGAAGGAAAATGGGTAATATAATGGTATACAAAATCATGACAGGAATAATAAAGTTGACAAATACAAACTTTTAAAATTTAAATGCTTAAAACAAGTGGTAGATGGTTAGAAGGGTTTGAGAAGGTGGTGAAAAACAAAACCATCAATACTGATGTTTGGAAGATTCATATGATGATTATAGAGAAGGCCGAACACCATGAGTGTAGCTCTCGTCCTGTAACTACACTTGTGTAATGACACACACACTGAACCATAGAGATATTAGAAATAACTTTTTTAGTGTCAGAGTAGTTAACAAATGGAATACATTAGGAAGTAATGTGGTGGAGGCAGACTCCATATACAGTTTCAAATGTAGATATGATAGTCTAATAACCTCAGGAATTTATACGTCGGTTAATTGACAGTTGAGAGGCGGGGTCAAAGAGCCAAAGCTCAACCCCTGCAAGCACAACTTGGTGAGTATGCACACACCCACACACAGACACACTCACTCACTCTTTTTAGTTTCAAAGCATTACATGACTACTGGTAAGATGGGACACCACAAGTGTAGCTCTCATCCTGTAACTACACTTAGGTGGTACATACACACACACATACAATTTGTATATAATATACTTTATATATAATTTTGCCTTTCCAGGTATTATTTAGGATGTCAGAAAACACTGTTTGGAAAGTAAGCGACACAGCAAATATTTGTATTTCAAGTGTTGTGTCTGGGGTGTCAGATGTTGCATCTAGTGTTACTCACGGTGTTGGGGGTGTGGTCAGCAGTGTCACATCGGGTAAGGCATTCATATTTCAAGCACTAAAGCGCTTTTACATTTTTGTGCTACATTTACGTTTCATGTTATGTTACTTCCTGCTTGCTTCAGATTTTTGTTTGAAAATCACAACTAATTACTTGATTGTATGTTAGCAAATGAATGAATTAGTGAAGTAGCAGATGAGAAAATGTAAGATGTGAACAATAGACTGTTTATCTGAGTTGCATGACAGAAAAGGGTTGCAAAAAATTACTGTAGATGTTTTGATTATCAAGTGTATATGTGAACTAATTTAATTAGCTGTGGATTTCAGTGAGAGAAGTGAAATATATGCAGCATGGGAGGGAATGTGCTACATGAAGCAGGATGATAAGAAAGGTTGAATATGAAGCGAGTATGAAACGGGCCAAGTGTTTAAAGAATAGTAAGAGAAGGGTGTGGACTGGGCACTTCTAAACTGTATAAAAACATGGAACGTGTCCTGGTTAATGAAAGCAAAATAATGTTTTTAGTTAATGCATATTTGTACATTAGTAAATTAATAAATACAACTATTATTGAGGGGTTTGGGGAGGGATTTATAAAGTGGCAGGCTGGATGCCTCCAGGAATAATGCTTTGTAAAATTAAAGAATTTATGGTACAGTATACAACAATATGAGTTAGCCAATTACACTGTATCAGGGTGTTTATAAAGTCAATGTGAAATTTTAAATATTTATTGTTTTAGCTATTCATGATAGAATTAATACATAAAGAACAAGGTTTAGTTCAATAAACATTAATATTTACATGTCCCCATGAAAAGAAATCCAGTGAAGTCAAATCTGGTGATTGTGGAGACCAAGATTTTTAAACATTAATAACAAAGTGGATGTGCATAAGCAATGCTCTAGAAAGAATGAATTATAAGAGAGATCTTCTATGAAATATGTTTTTTCTCGTTTCTGTATCTTGGTTAGTACTTGGTACTCGACTTGACCAGCTGGGTTACAGTAGCACTTGGCACATTACTCAACCAGCTGGGTAATAGTAGCATTTGAAGAATTATAAGAAACAAAGCATTGTTTTACTGTACTTAGCCACCATGATCATGTATGCAACTTGATTACAATAACTGCTGTAGTTTATGCACCTTGGATACTAATGATGCCCCGCAGGTTCATGACTTGGTAAATAGTTAGCATCCCAGTCATTATACAGACATTAAATTTGGGTCATAGATTTGGGGCAAATGCTCAAAATTATAGTTTTTATATACAATACTTCAAGCATGAGCAAAACCAGATATAATGACAAACTACAGTACATCCAATGCTATCAAACATAAAATATAAATACAACAAATAGCATGTTTCAACAGATCTCTGAGATTCTTTAAGTGAATTTACACGCGTTTGACAATTTCTCACTATGCAACACAGGGTATCACTCGTATTCCCAGATGACAGTATTGGAATGACACGATACTATGAGCATAGCTTTCATCCTGTAACTACACTTAGGTAATTTCACAACTTTATCAGTACTTATTTCAAATAGCAGTTACAAAGATACTGCATTTAATAACAATAACATAACACTCCTTCTTGTATCTAAATGTGCTTTCAAAGAGCCCATTATATTATTGTTGTTTTCCAATATCCATTTACCCACTATTGACTATAAAAAAAAAATTACAATAGTAAGTTTAGGTACACAGCCGTGTTGCTGCTCTAATTTTGAATGAGGGCTTTTAGAGTATAAATCAAGTTAAATAAGTTCATCTAATATCTCCACCTTGCAGTATGGGATATCATGCATGAAATCAAAGAAAAACATGGAGTAGTGTACTCGGCTGCACTAGCAACCTTTGGGTAAAGTATACCTATATTTTCCAATATCCATGAGTGACTGAAATATTTACGAAGCTCAAAGCGAAGCTCGAAGCTCAAAGAAGCACATGTCATTTGATTTCAAATTATTAATAATGGAGAGTTTACAACTGGAGTGCGTTACCTGCAGCCACCTGCCATAAATGCCAATTACAATGATAAAATTGTCTGGTGGATGTTTTATGCTGTCTGTACATGGAGTACTCGGTTGTAAGGTGGACCAAGCATAAGCAGTCTTGGAAATAAACTTCAGTAATGAGAAAGGAGGAAATAAATAAATTTGTTAGAAAAATTAAAGAGAACTTTACGTTGAGATCCACTCTTTGGTAGACAGTTTATGAATGCACCTTGTTCTGTTGACTATATGACTTGACATCCAGGGTATTTATTGCATTCACAGTATGAAAATGATGGTTTATGTACTTATACTCTGTAGCAGTTCTGATTTTCTCTTGCAAGTGTGTTTTGTAGATGTCATTTGCACAACTGTATCAAACATTCTTAACCACATTGTTTTGTAAATGTTTACTGCACCATTTTGTAGTTTTTTACCATTTATGATTTTTTGTTTTTATTTTTTTGTAATATATTGCTGTATTTTGAAACTGCAGAGGAAAATCTTACCTTAAATACATTTGGTTTTGCTGTTGGTTCCATGGAATACAGGAAAGGTACAATTATTTTTTATTACAGTGTAACCTTGATTCAACGAAACCTCGATTCAGTGAATCTCCGGATGGATGTTTAGAATTTTTTTGTTGGGCATTTTGAACTTTTTCTGTGGGGAGCCTTGTCAGTTCCCGGAAGCTATCCAAACTGATATGTGCTATATTAGTGTGGGGTCATCAGTCACAGGAGATCTTATGCCTACCGGGGGCCACGAGCCAGAACCTGGTCCCCTCAGAGAGGTGCAGGGAGCAGTGGCCTATGAGCACTTTACTTTTAAAGTATGTCATAATTGCCATCGCCCAGGGAAAGACCCAGAAAGGTTGGCGAATCGAAACAGACCACTGTCTGGTTAACCTGTGCAATATACATCCAAAAAGATCAAAATATGACTCCCCTAGAAAGAAATCCAAGAAGCAACACTTCATGCAACTAGCACTCCTACTTGTTAGTGTTACTCCCCCATAGGGGGGAGGGGGAGTGGGCAGCCCACCACTCCAGTTCTTGAACTGATGTGCTGGTGATCAGTCATCTCTGGCCTCATGTTCCTGTTCTGAATTTTTGCCCTGTGTTGCTCTACCAGCTGTGTGTGGTGTGGTGGTCAGGTGTCTTAGTTTATGTATGCTATAAAAGGGGTAAGGAGGGTACATGATTTGGTGTGTGCTTCCCTCATCACTGCTGAGGTGTCGTCAGTAGTTTTGGTAAGTTTGCACTCTTCGCATTGTACATACTTGTCTAGCTATGCTTGCGGGGGCTGCACTTTGGCTCTTTGGGTCCGCCTTTCACCCGTCATTCTACTGGTGTACTTGTTCCTGAACTTCTTGAGCTCCTGCGTTTCTACGTTTGCAGCCTCCACCTCATCACTGCCTCCTGCTTTCCCTTTCCTTAGTACTCTGCCTCTGGACAAGTTCTTTTAATAGCTCTGTGGCTCCTTTGTGTACTTGGTTTCCACCTGTGTCCCATTAGGGATGTGCCAATCGTATTGATTCATCTATCTTTTTCTACCTTGTCCGTTCCCCCTGAGGAATTGTTGGTGGTGGTCATGTCTCCCGGTCTTGTGTTCTCAGGGCAGTCTTGTCTTGTGTACGAGGCTGTTGTACTTCTGTATATTATTACCTCAGTCTTATGTTCACTGACTGTGGTCATTGGCTTGTATTCAGTATTTTATTATAGGCACCGATTTTGTGCCTAGTGACCTTGCCCTGTATGCTCATCTGGCTCCCAAGCCAGATGAGCATACAGGGGGGTTCTCTTCGGTCATTGACTTTAGGCTTGGTCGCTTTGGGGTAGCTCTTCTGCCGAGTTCTCAGGGTTTAGTTCTCTGCGCTGTTCACATATAGGGTGTGTCCATCGTCCTGGCAGACAGCCTGTCGCTCTTCCTTCCTCTTTCCATGGAGCGGACAGTTGACTCGGCCTCTTTCCTTGGCTTTGGCGGACGTACAGGCACCCCCGAGGTGGACTTCTTCACGTTGATATGGTCTCGGCATCTCCCAGTGTATGTGGTGCCGTTCCCCAACTGTGAAGCCTTCGTGGTAGATGCTTTTCAGGAGGACTGGTCGAGGTGGGAGTTTCTGTCCCTCTTCCCCCCCTCCCCGGCTCTGCTGTTGCTCCACATTCTGGCTCTGCTGGATTCATATTAGGGGTGAGTGGTTCTCTGGGCTTCAGGTACAGCTTGCTTAGTGTCCAAACCCAAGCAGTTTAACGCCTCTTTCAGCAGTGAGGTACCTCACTGGTTTGCCTTACTGCTCAGCACTACATGTCTGGTTTATCTGACGCGTGTGTATCGCCATTTGTATGATGATCAGGTGGCTTCTTTAGTGTCCCACATGTGTTCTTCTTCTCAGTGACAGTATGAAGTTTCTTGGAGGTCTTACCATCATTTTCTTTCTCTTCATCAGTTTTTGGCGATTTTGGACCAGGTTGTTTTTGTCCTTTCTCTTGGTTTTTTCTGGATCGGCATCTCATGCCTATACCTGTCGCTTCGTATCACACAACGTTGATGGAGATGCGCCTGCTCATGCACCACCTGAGCATTCTTGGTCTTTGGATCACGTTCTTTCTTGTTTTTCTTCTCCTTTGCTGTGGCCCTTTCAATTCAGGATTGCTTTTGAAGGCCTTGTTTTTGTTTGCCTTCTCTTCTGGGGGTCGGGTTGGGGAGTTTCATGCTCTCCTCCAACACTAGGGGTTCTGTTTATTTAGTCCAGGTGGTCGTTTTGTGCATTTGCAGCCTTCTTCTTTTCTGGTGTAGAATGAGATGGCTGGCTTCTGGAGTCTGTTGGTTGTGGATGCTTGGTTGGATGGGCCAGAGGTGTGTCACGTGAACAAATCCACAAGGGCCGTGATGAGGATTCGAACCTACATCCGAGGTTCAGATGTAGGTTCGAATCCTCATCAAGGCCCTTGTGGATTTGTTCATTTGATGCATCACGCTATTGTGATTTCTGTGTGTAGTGTGTCACGTGTTGTGTCCGGTGATGGC